TCGACGCTCGAGCGTGAGTAGCTGTTGTCATTTTTTGGTGTATTCGCGCGAGGTGCAAATCGCCGCACGTGCGGAAATTGGGCAATTTGTAAGTGGGACGTTGCACTCTGCTATTAAAGCAGGTGCGCCGCCAAGTGCGGCCAAATCTTTAAAAAAAAAAAATGTTAGGTTTTGTTTTATTTTTGTTTTATTTTAATTTATTTAAGTAAATAAATACATATATAAATTGTAAAACTAAATAAATAAATATACAATTATTCTATTTATAATTTTTTATTAAAAAAAAATTTTCGAATTTTATTTATTTAATTTTTAATTTTCTATTTTGCAAAAAAAAAAAAACCTTTAGAAATAGTGGTACTAACACTAATCCTAATTTAGTTTTTTTTGTTTGTTCTATTTGTTTAGTGTAAATTGCTTCGTAGTGATTCTGGTTAGTTTAATTAGTTAGTGACATTTGGTTTTATTCTTATTTTCCTTATACTTGTGTAGTTCGTGATTTTATTTTTATCTTAGTCTATGATGTCATTGTTCATATAATTACTAAGTAGTTTAGTTGTTATTTTATTTTATTTTCTGCAGTTTTATTTCATTTTCTTCTCTTCAATTAAAAAAAACCCAAAAAAAAAAACAAATACTGTTTGAATAAAAAATAATCCTTTAAATTGGATTTGAATATTTATGTAGTTATAAGAAAATTTTGAGTCATTGCATTTCTTAAAAAGTTTTATAAAATTAAGCATTTCCTAACTCAATTATTATATTTTATTTTTAGTTTTTCAATTGGGGTCTGAGACTTTATACGAGGAGAATTACGTTTGACTAGACAACCATAGTCTATCAATACACATTTAGAAGTCCAACAACACAAAATAGTGCAATTTGTAAGGTCAAAAATAAATAAATGAATAAATAAAAATAAAATGAATTTCATGATGCATACAACGGTAACTTACTATTAAAACCTGAAGTAGTTTGTAAAATATAACTTTAAAATGGACATTATAAATTCACTTTTTGTATCATAATTTTTATATTGTATACATCTTTTTAGAGATCCACGTTTTAGGTTTATCCGGACCTATTAGAATAGTTTAGATGTATGACATAATGTTCTATGCAAACACTTGCTCCTTTCTTTCCGACTGGATAATTTCAGTCCTGTCAATATATATATATATATATATATATTTTTCCACTGATTTGATTTGTATAAGCCTTCAAGCCAAGTAAAAATAAAGAGCTTTTTCATTGATTTGATTGGTGATCAGTATTATGATTTTGTTTACAGACAGTAGCGAACATTAACATATGATGAAGGAGTTCATAAAGTTGGTATTCGGAAAGACCATCAATATTCCATTCATAAATAGCAGTACTGTTATAGGAACGTTGAGTCTGAAGGAAATCTTCTTCATACAAAATATCCATAGGAGTGGGTCGAGGGTAATAATGACGAGTACTACCAACAGGAACCATCTTCTGGATATTTGGGGAATAAACACGTTGTATAGAGGTGGGTTCAGGAGACTTAAAATTTTCTTCAATTTTAAGAATTTGAGGAATACTCAAATGTTGGTAAGGATCGTCGGAGAGAGAATGAAGAGGAGTACTAGAGAGCATAAGAACTTGAGCTTTAGATTTAGAAGAGGAATCAGAAATTTTTAAATCACGGATTTGTGACAGAATAGTTTCCATGAAATCAGTATCAGCTTTAGGTTTTAAATTAAAATCTTTCAAAACTGGAGAAGGTTTGATAAAAACTGGATCTGTGATAGTAGGAGGTTTAGGTTCCAATTTGCAACTTTTCTTAACATGTGATACCATTTCTTCAATACGAGTAAGCTGCTTTCCAGCTGTCTGACAGAATAGGTTGGTATAATTATTCTGTTTTAAAATAGTGGTAAAATCTTGGATTAAGACAGGATCTTTATTCTGTGTACGGTGTGGCATGTCAGAAAAGGCAGCAATTACCATGGGTTTACCATTAGAGGTGGAAGTTTGATTATTGATTGGTTGGAGTTCTAATGGCTGGGTTGGAGGATGAATATTAACTATAGTTCGCCCATCAGTAGTAACCCATTTTTGCTGGAATTCTTCAAGAACCTGTATATGTGCGGTAGAAGGCTGGATATTCGATTTATACCAAAGCGGAAAAGGATATAAAACCTGAATCTCTTCCAGATATAAGTAATATTGTAGTTTATAATCTTTTAGTTGATCTGAAGTATGATTTGCAAAATACCATTTACGAAAATCAGAATATTTTTCCTGAAGAAATTCTTGATTTAAGAATCTACGATTTATACTACCAGGTGTAAAATCCATTAAATTCTAAAATCCATATCACTAGCGGTAGGGCTTAACGAGCCTCTTCTGGATTCACGACGAACTGGAGGGATTGGTGGTTCATAAACCCCGTGTGGAATTCGTTGCTCCGAATATTGAACACCTCTAACTATCGGATCTTGATCTGGTTCGTTTGGTTTATCCGAAGCAGGTCTAGAATGGGATCTGGTAGGATTACCTTGAAATATAGCATCCGGAGGTTCAGCAAAAGATTGTCTGGAGGATTCTGGATAATCAACTCTGTATTGTGGATGGCTAGGGGCAGTTCGAAAACTGGTACTAGACATACTACGATGTAATTTAACCGGTGGTTTCTGGAATTGGAGAAAGACATCTCCTTGCCTGGTCTGGATTATTTCATCTAAATTATGTTTTATAAGGGGACGGGAAGGAACAGCATTTGTGATTTTCCATTGTTCAGGAAAAGTAATTTTATCCCATTCTAATAATTTGGGTACGGCAACCTGGCTACTGTAAAGGTTGGTGTCAATTAAAACAGTTTCACCATCGGTTCCTTTTCTCCTTACATATGGATTTAAAGTAGTTAAGACTTTAAGATAAATTCGTGATATGACCGAAAAGGGAGGAGAACCAGACATATATTCATATCCATTTGTTAGAATCCTGAATTCTAAAACTTTAGATAAATTTTGGTCTGAAAGAGCAATACTCAAATTAGGATAAATGTCAAAATAGACTGGACCATGGGACAGACTTGTTTCCATTGCACCCATAAGAGATGCACGCCAGTTGAGGCAACGCCCATCTCGAAGTGTACACTGCATGCTGGTATTTTGACCAAGAAGGGTCAAAGGTTTTAAGGCAATCTAGACAAGCCCTATATGAACATATTTATAATCTTTGAAAAAAGGCATTAAATCCTGAATATTTAATAAATACATGAGTGTATCATTATTATCAACTGGAGCAGCATGTTCAAAAGCTATTATTAAAGTTTTACTGAAAAAGGTTTTAATTCTGTGTTTGTAGATAGTGTTTGGATCTACCTTAGGAATAGTCCACTTATCTAAGGCATCCTTAACATCTTGGTATGCAACTAGCTCACGAGCCTCTGATGTAGAAGCCCCAATATTTGTGACAGCAGAATTAATTTCAGAAGAGTCGTTACTCATAGATTTGTATATGACCATATATGACTAATTAAATAAAAATAATATGGATTATAACGTATATTAAACATGGCTCTGATACCAATAAGAGTGCTTCACACAGGGTTAAAGATTAGCACGTCTGTCAACGACTTATGCCAACTAGTCCTAACCAGCTTACTGCTTGTTTTAGACAATCAAGGCTACGCGACTTGCGTGACGTCCCACTAACCTGTAACACATTTGCTAACCCTTACATGGCACAAATCCAGGAATAATATAAAAAATAATCCTTACATTATTTAAATTTAATTACATCATATATGGTCCATAAATAAACTAATCTGTAGGAGGAGGGCGATTTGCCCTTGCGGCGGCTATGATGGCTTCCTGTATTTGATTTTCAATTAGGGCAATTAATCTATTTATTTCTAATAGTTCTTGTTTTGCCCAAGGATCATTAGGCCACAATGCAAGGTATGTATTTATGAAATTATTCTTTCGTTCCAGACATATATTCATATCCATTTGTTAGAATCCTGAATTCTAAAACTTTAGATAAATTTTGGTCTGAAAGAGCAATACTCAAATTAGGATAAATGTCAAAATAGACTGGACCATGGGACAGACTTGTTTTAAATTAAAATCTTTCAAAACTGGAGAAGGTTTGATAAAAACTGGATCTGTGATAGTAGGAGGTTTAGGTTCCAATTTGCAGCTTTTCTTAACATGTGATACCATTTCTTCAATACGAGTAAGTTGCTTTCCAGCTGTCTGACAGAATAGGTTGGTATAATTATTCCAATAAGAGTGCTTCGCACAGGGTTAAAGATTAGCACGTCTGTCAACGACTTATGCCAACTAGTCCTAACCAGCTTACTGCTTGTTTTAGACAATCAAGGCTACGCGACTTGCGTGACGTCCCACTAACCTGTAACACATTTGCTAACCCTTACATGGCACAAATCCAGGAATAATATAAAAAATAATCCTTACATTATTTAAATTTAATTACATCATATATGGTCCATAAATAAACTAATCTGTAGGAGGAGGGCGATTTGCCCTTGCGGCGGCTATGATGGCTTCCTGTATTTGATTTTCAATTAGGGCAATTAATCTATTTATTTCTAATAGTTCTTGTTTTGCCCAAGGATCATTAGGCCACAATGCAAGGTATGTATTTATGAAATTATTCTTTCGTTCGTTATGAAATGCTAAAATATCATGCAAAAGAATGAGATCATATACAGACATACATAGAGAGAGAACTTACTTAAACCAGCAGAGATATTATTACTATGCTTCAAAAGCTTCACACTGAAAATAGAGAGAGAGAGAGAGAGAGAGAGAGAGAGTACAGAGTTTTTAAACGAGAAAATAAAATTGTTCTAGTAGTGCCTCTTACAAGCCAAGGGCTACATATTTATATTACAAACGGTATGTATTTATGAAATTATTCTTTCGTTCGTTATGAAATGCTAAAATATCATGCAAAAGGATGAGATCATATACAGACATACATAGAGAGAGAACTTACTTAAACCAGCAGAGATATTATTACTATGCTTCAAAAGCTTCACACTGAAAATAGAGAGAGAGAGTACAGAGTTTTTAAACGAGAAAATAAAATTGTTCTAGTGGTGCCTCTTACAAGCCAAGGGCTACCTATTTATATTACAAACTCAACAGATAACAAGGACAGGTGGCGTGTGCTGAATGGTTTGCATTCGATCATCCTTATCCTCTTATCTTTAGCTTTGTCGGCAAAGAATCTACTTTAAGAAAAGTGGCTTCATTATTCACCGAAAGTTATTTGGCCACTAGTGGTGCTGGAAAGTAGATGGTAGACAGAATAGGACTGGTGGGCCAGACGCATTATTTGTCATTTCGTTTTCCTTTTCCTTTGGCCCGTACCAATTTGTCGGTAATTAGTTCTGTCACAGAGTCCCAAATATCTCCAAAATCTGGATCAGATGGATCTTCATTCGGGTCTTGGGATTCTCCTGCAAGGGGTGTGAATGCATTGTCATCATCTGAATATGGGTCAGGTTGAGTTTTTTCGCCTTCACTGGAAGCTGACTTCATGCTAGAGTCTCGAGGGGCCATGGACTCAAGAAATTGTTGCTTCATAAAATCCATACTTTTGGCAACAAGTTCTTCCTCTGTTATTTCTGGATATTTTCGTCGAAGCTCTTGCTGGATTTGAATAAAAGGATTGGCAGGAATGACAGGAGTTGTTTTTGGACAGGCATCTAGGCAGGATTGAGTATGTTCTTTGATTCGCTGGAGCAAGTCTTGCTTATTTTTGGTATCATCCATCTGTTTCCACCATTTATAGAAGAAAACTCTTTTTAAACGGGGAACTTTATTCTGGAAATCGCACTGGAAATCCCATTTCCATATCCAAGGAATACTGAAGCGAATGACAAAATGCATTAAACATTTGGACATGGAAATATTTTTATTAACTGGAAGAATACTGAAAATAGCTTGCCATTCATTAAAGGCCAGGCGAACATATTCTGGAAAAGCATCGAGCTGTAACCCAAAGGTATCCCACCAAATGAGAAACCAGGAGGGGAGATCATTTTTAAGGACATCAGGAAGAACCCGAAAAAACCAAGAGTGAGAACGAAGAGGGTTCATATAATAGAAAGTTTGAGTGAAAGCAGTAATATAATCCCAATAACTGTAACGGATATCTTTAGACCGGATGTCAAGACTGCGGGTAACATGGGGATGAATGCCCCAGGCTTGGATAGGCATGATAGACTGGATGGTAGCTTTACTGTAATTAATTGGACTTGCAGTTCGATTAGAATCGGCATAATGATGTTGGAATTGGACAGAAGCTAATTCAGTCAGAATTTGTTCATAAACATAGCGGTAAGTATCCAAATGTGGAGGGCTATTTTGAGTGGCAAGATAGCGTTTTTTCACCTCCCATGGATCAGAAACCCATTGGATATCAGCTGTATCAATATAAAGAACAGTTTCTTCTGTAATGGAGTTCTGGAAATAAGTTTCTGGAGTTAGGAGGACATCTTTAACCGATTGGCTAGATTTCCCTTTGTTACTGTAGATTCCCAGGAGGGAAGGAAAGTCTGTAGGTGGAGGCGGAAATCCACGTCCACGGCCACGGCGGCCTGGGCCTCTACCCCGATTTTGCATGAGAAGTCTGTAGATATTCACGAGTCAGAAAATCAGGGAGAGAATTATGTTCTCCTTTAATATATTCAATATTATAGTCAAAAGCAGAAAGAGCAGCCTGCCAAGAAGCAAAAATTTGTTTTTGAGCTAAATTTTCAACATCTTTTTTGAAAACTTGTTTGGCTGCAGAACAATCAACACGAATTAAAAATTCTTGATTTAATAAATCATCCTGGAATTTTAAGACACATTTAACAATTGCTAAACATTCTTTTTTAATGGTTGGATATCTTTTAGCAGCATCATGCCAAACACCAGAATGAAAACGGAGAAGTTCTTCTCTACCTAGTTTGGGATTTAGTTGTTTGAGGATACCACCAAAACCTAAATCAGAAGCATCAGTTTCTACAATTTTTTTGTAATCAGGAGAAGGGAGACATAAACAAGGTAATGTCTTAACACGAGTCTTAATTTTCTTGACAGCAGCTGTATGCTCAGAACTCCAAACAGGTGGATTTTTACGAAGACGAGTATAAAGAATTGCAGCGTCAGTAGCAAGATTAGGATAATAATCATGAATATAATTAAGACTTCCTAAAAATCGTTGTAATTGAGTTTTGTCTTTGATTTCATCTGGAAATTTGGATGCAAATTCCATGCTGCGATCAATAGGAATAATAGTACCATTATGGATATTATGTCCTAAAAATCTAATTTGAGTCTGAAAAAGTTTCATTTTTGGAGCAGAAACAACAAGACCATTTCTGGAAATAACGTGCTTAAAAATATTAAGATGTTTCATATGCTGATCAATGGAAGAGGAAAAGATAAGAACATCATCGATGTAGCATATGGAGAATTCTGAATAAGGATTAAAAATGTCATTCATAATATGTTGAAATTCAGAAGGAGCATTTTTTAATCCGAAGGGCATTACATTCCATTCGAAATGTCCAAAGGGTACTATAAAAGCAGTTTTATAACGATCATTTTCAGTAATTTGAATTTGCCAATAACCTGACTTCATATCAAATTTAGAAAATATAACTGCATCCTGCAGACGATCCAAAAGATCTTTTTTGTTTGGGACAGGATACCTAATCCACTGTAAGACTTCATTTAAAGGTTTATAATTAATTACTAACCTAGGCATACCGCGTTCAATTTCAGCATTTTTATTGACATAAAAAGCAGTACAACTCCAAGGAGATCGACTAGGTCTTATTAATTTTTTCTGGAGAAGAGTATTAATTTCAGTTTTGCAAAGTTCCATATATGCTTTTTTCATTTGACTGGGACGAGCCTTTGTGGGAATTCGCTTTTCATTAAAATCAGGCTCATAAGGAAGTGATACCATATGCTTTTTGCGATCCCAGAAAGCATTCAGAATATCACTGCAAATTTCGTCCTGGAATTCTTTTTCAAGTAATTTAATTTTTTGTTGAAAAGCAGATTGCTGGATTCGTTGTTCTGTAGTAAGAAAACTAATTTCTTTTTGCAAAAAATTAACTTGACTTTGTTTTAAATACATTAAGTCGGAAACCTGATCTAATTCTTTTGTATATGGAGAAGTAATGAATTCAAATATAATCTTTTGATTATCAAGTTCTGTATGAATCCCAATAGTGTCTATCTTAGTAATAGGCATTAAGAGATTCAAAAAAGGTGTTCCGAGGATTATATTTTGAGCCATATTTTTAATTAGAACAAAAGAAGTTGGCAAACATAACCCTTGATTACAGATTAAAACGTCAGGAAGTTTATAATCAATATATAAACTGTTGCCACTTGCACTGGTAAGAGATTGACTGGTCTTCTGAAAATATTTAGTGGGAACCAATCCTTCCTGGATACAATTCATATCAGCACCACTATCAACCAAAGCAATTGCATCTCGCATAATAAAATCAGGTTGAATCATAAATGTGATACGAATATACCATTTCTGAAAGGTTATCCTGTTTAGAGATAACAAGTATTCTGGATTATCTTGTTCTTTTTCTTGTAATTTTTTATTAATCTTCTTAATTTCAGAATTTATTGCTAGGTTAGAAGTTTGTAAATGCTTGATTTCAATTTTTAAAGCATTAACTTCCATTTTTAAATCCTGGATAGAAACTGATTTATCTGTTCTAGAAGGTGATGGATTTTGAAGACGGGAAAAAACTTCTTTCATGTTATAAATTGTAGGAACTAAAACTTCTTCCTTTTTCTGTTTATAACACATTTCAAGAAATTTTAATTTAATTTCTGGATCCTTTATACTGTCAGCAATAGTTAAAAGATTTTGTTCAGAATCAGTCAAAACATTAATACTTGGACTATTAATATTTAAACCATTCATTTCTACTATTGACTTCCAGTAATTGGCCTCATCAGAAACTTGATTAACAGAAGTTTTACAAGGACAAAGTTCATTTTCTGGACATTCATTCTCAGTATCAGAGGAGGATGAATAAATTGCTGCTAATTCATTGTCAGATGGTTCATCTGAATAAGAATCAGAGTCAGAAATTAATTGTAAAATTTTTTGCTGTATTTCTTCATCTAATGCTAGCTCATTTAATTTTGCCTGAACTTTAGCTCTACATTTGTTAGCATAGTGCCCTGTTTGTCCGCATTTATAACATTTAATACTAAATTTGTTTTTCTGGAATGATTTTCCTTTGGATTTAGGCCGGGATTTAGATGTCTGAGGTTGAGGTTGAGATTTAGGATATTTTGAAAATTTTCTGGATTTTTTGTAAGGCTTGGAATGATTCTTATGTTTCCTTTGCTTATGAAGTTTGTAAGGATATTGGATTTGGGGGTCATAAGCAAATTGTTCACAAAAATCTCCTACCTCTCGTTTTCTAATTAAATGTTGTTGTTTAAGTTGTTGCTGGAGTTTGAGGTCGTTACATAAAGCAAGACCTTCATTAGTCACAATATTAATCAACTGACCGTAAGTGTATTGATAATATGGAATATCAACAGAGTGATGTATGTCTCGTAATCTCTTACGAACACGTTCAGCAAAGAGATGAGGAAGACCATCAATGAATTTGGCTTTCCAATGTTCATCACTTTCATCTGTTCTCTGCATAACTTTCATCAGAAAAACATCCTTATACCAACGAAAATGAGATAAAGTTGGGCATCTTAATTTCATAAGTAATTCTCTATTTCGATCTGCAATGCCAATAGTGTTACCAACAAAATTAGCAACAATAGTATTAATAAGGGTATAAACAGCATCTTCTTCTTCAGTTTCAATTGGGTCCGGATTAGGGTTTGTAAGAGTTCTGTCAGGAATAGTGGTAGTAGTTTTGGTAGCAGAAAGGATTTCAGAACATTGATTAGGATAAAGCACTCTTATTGTATCAATCTTTAACCCTGTCCGGATGCAAATTCCATGCTTTTCCAGAATATGTTCGCCTGGCCTTTAATGAATGGCAAGCTATTTTCAGTATTCTTCCAGTTAATAAAAATATTTCCATGTCCAAATGTTTAATGCATTTTGTCATTCGCTTCAGTATTCCTTGGATATGGAAATGGGATTTCCAGTGCGATTTCCAGAATAAAGTTCCCCGTTTAAAAAGAGTTTTCTTTTATAAATGGTGGAAACAGATGGATGATGCAAAAAATAAGCAAGACTTGCTCCAGCGAATCAACGAACATACTCAATCCTGCCTAGATGCCTGTCCAAAAACAACTCCAGTCATTCCTGCCAATCCTTTTATCCAAATCCAGCAAGAGCTTCGACGTAAATATCCAGAAATCACAGAGGAAGAACTTGTGGCTAAAAGTATGGATTTCATGAAGCAACAATTTCTGGAGTCCATGGCCCCTCGTGACTCTAGTATGAAGTCAACCTCCAGTGAAGGTGAAAAAACTCAACCTGACCCATATTCAGATGACGACAATGCATTCACACCCCTTGCAGGCGAATCCCAAGACCCGAATGAAGATCCATCTGACCCAGATTTTGGAGATATTTGGGACTCCGTGACAGAACTAATTACCGACAAACTGGTACGGGCCAAAGGAAAAGGAAAACAAAATGACAAATAATGAGTCTGGGCCACCAGTCCTATTCTGTCTACCATCTACTTTCCAGCATCACTAGTGGCCAAATAACTTTCGGTGCATAATGAAGCCCCTTTATCTACTTTTCTTAAAGTAGATTCTTTGCCGACAAAGCCAAAGATAAGAGGATAAGGATGATCGACTGCAAGCCATTCAGCACACGCCACCTGTCCTTGTTATCTGTTCAGTTTGTAATATAAATAGGTAGCCCTTGGTTTGTAAGAGGCACCACTAGAAAAATTTTTATTTTTCCTCGTTTAAAACTCTGTACTCCCTCTCTCTCTCATTATCAGTGTGAAGCTTTTGAAGCATAGTAATAATATCTCTGCTGGTTTAAGTAAGTTCTCTCTCTATGTATGTCTGTATATGATCTCATCCTTTTGCATGATATTTTAGCATTTCATAACGAACGAAAGAATAATTTCATAAATACATACCTTGCATTGTGGCCTAATGATCCTTGGGCAAAACAAGAACTATTAGAAATAAATAGATTAATTGCCCTAACTGAAAATCAAATACAGGAAGCCATCATAGCCGCCGCAAGGGCAAATCTCCCTCCTCCTACAGATTAGTTTATTTATGGACCATATATGATATAATTAAATTTAAATAATGTAAGGATTATTTTTTATATTATTCCTGGATTTGTGCCATGTAAGGGTTAGCAAATGTGTTACAGGTTAGTGGGACGTCACGCAAGTCGCGTAGCCTTGATTGTCTAAAACAAGCAGTAAGCTGGTTAGGACTAGTTGGCATAAGTCGTTGACAGACGTGCTAATCTTTAACCCTGTGCGAAGCACTCTTATTGGAATAATTATACCAACCTATTCTGTCAGACAGCTGGAAAGCAACTTACTCGTATTGAAGAAATGGTATCACATGTTAAGAAAAGCTGCAAATTGGAACCTAAACCTCCTACTATCACAGATCCAGTTTTTATCAAACCTTCTCCAGTTTTGAAAGATTTTAATTTAAAACAAGTCTGTCCCATGGTCCAGTCTATTTTGACATTTATCCTAATTTGAGTATTGCTCTTTCAGACCAAAATTTATCTAAAGTTTTAGAATTCAGGATTCTAACAAATGGATATGAATATATGTCTGGCTCTCCTCCCTTTTCGGTCATATCAGACCCCAATTGAAAAACCAAAAATAAATAAATGAATAAATAAAAATAAAATGAATTTCATGATGCATACAACGGTAACTTACTATTAAAACCTGAAGTAGTTTGTAAAATATAACTTTAAAATGGACATTATAAATTCACTTTTTGTATCATAATTTTTATATTGTATACATCTTTTTAGAGATCCACGTTTTAGGTTTATCCGGACCTATTAGAATAGTTTAGATGTATAACATAATGTTCTATGCAAACACTTGCTCCTTTCTTTCCGACTGGATAATTTCAGTCCTGTCAATATATATATATATATTTTCCACTGATTTGATTTGTATAAGCCTTCAAGCCAAGTAAAAATAAAGAGCTTTTTCATTGATTTGATTGGTGGATCGGTCTGTGTTTTGCTTTGAAGAAGAAAAAAGAAAAAACTGTAATTGAGTTAAGAAAACCAAAATGCTATTAGTGGTGATGTTTTTAGTGGGATGAATCATTGTTGAAAAAAAAAACTGTAATTGAGTTAAGAAAACCAAGCAATTAACAAAAAAATAAAAATAAAAATTAAATAAATAAATAAAAAGTTACCTGTTCTTTGTAAGGAGATGGAGAAATGATAGGGAGATAGAAACACCAGCAGGCCAAACAATCCACAAGAGGTTATGAGGTAGAATCATTTTTATCATGGTCAAGAACCCAATGACGGACGACAACGCGCCAGCATACCCCCCTATGCTTGCAGCGATTGGCGATTCCTTCTGTAATAAGATCACATTCATATTACAAGTGAAACCAATTGCAATACAAGCCACAAGAATACCGAATGATTTTGCATGTGGTGGTTTTGAATTCAAAGCAAACTGCAACGGCGATCCCTCAGATCTGAAAATCACCATAGCTATGGCTGCACTGAAATTTGTGACTAGGAGCGTCTTCGACAGCTTAAGTAAGTTGTCGCCACCACTAGTCTTCTCTGTCAGAATCTCAAACCATGATCGAGTCTTAGCCCGAGCTTGAGTATGACTCCGAGTCCGAGTCTGACAGTCGTGAGATGTTGAAGGATGCTGATTTTGAGTGTTACCAGTTCTTGCGTCTGTATTTGTGTCAACAGATGGTTGTTGTGGCGGTGCAGGTGGTTGGGTTTGCCGAACTGGACTACCATCAACAGAAAATGGTGATTGGCCATTTGAATTCATACCTACAAGGTACAAACAAAGATTATCAAAAAAAAGACCATGAAATCATGATGAATTTCAAAAAAATAAAAATAAAAATATTGGGGGATTTTGGGTACACTAAAATCACCTGCAATAAAGTTTTTTTAGCCTGAATGGAAATCACCAAGATGAGGAAACGTTGTCAGCCACGAAACCTTACAGCATCTGCATGCATATGAGACCAATATTTTATGTTTTTCGGTCTTTGGGTGGGCAAAACAGGATTATTTCATCTATTCATATAAACTATTGGGGAAGACAAATGAACACATAAATAAATAACTACATTCACGGAAAATAGAAGATCTGATACAAGTAAAAAAAAAGGGAAATATCAAGTTAGGGGATTTGCGTTGGAAAAAAAAAAAGGGAAAATAAAATACTAGTGTTTATGAACTATCAACAACAAATGAGAGAGAGAGAGAGAGAGAGAGAGAGAGAGAGAGAGAGAATGAATCAATGAATGAATAAGGGAACAAACACTATATAATGAAAATGATGAGCCCATTACACCTTTTTTTTCTTTTTTCTTTTTTCTTTTTTATATCAACAAAAGATAGAAATTTATTGATAAAATGTATCCAGGATATTTCCACATATTTGCGCATATATTTTTTTATTGACAATCCAAAGTCTCAATTATGGGCCCTTATATTTTTTGGATTTTTGATTAAAAGAAAAAAGGAAGAAGAAGAAGAAAAAGAAGAAAAAGAAAAAGAAGAGAAGCCTTTTTGTGGATATATATATATATATGCATATATTTTTGGCCCATTACACTTAGCACTCATATATTTTTATTAAAATCTCACTTTAATTTATTTACTTTCAATTGTAACAGTTAATCTCTTATATTTTAAGTCAAGTTGCAATGTTTCCCCTCCATCTATCTGTCATTCATAAGATTGACGGAAGTTGTCATCTAAAACATATGTGATATTTCATTATTTCATCACCCTTATACTTTTACTACAATCTCATTTTAGTCCTTTAATTTTACCAAAATCTCACGTTAGTCTCTCAATTTAGTTTTCGTTAGCCTTATTAACATTATATGGATGGATGGGTGAAATTGTAATTGGATTTAAAATATAAGAGGTTAATTATTACATTTGAAAGTGAAAGGATCAAAGTGAGAATTTGGTGAAAGTATATCGTTGCTAAATATAATTTACCAGAAAATTATTTAGTGGATCTGGGATAATTACATGTACCCCAATTTGATACTTATTGGTTTCAATAATGAGACTTATTGCTGATAAAATAAATAAATAAAATAATAATGGGATTCATCAATTTTCTATTATGTTTTGTGAGATACTTATCCCATCTTGCATTCTCTTTTTATTTTGCACCAAAAAAACTTCTTCATCCTATTAGAGATTGCATTTATGGTTTTTAATTTTTTTTTGTGTACATAATTTATATATCATATTGTACATATATACGTATATTTGTATATATGTGAAAAAAAATTATTTTTCTTTTAGCATTTCTAATAATGAAATCTTGGTTCTGATCCTGAGAGAGAATTTTAAATTATATATACCAAACTTAAATAAAACAAAATAATATGTAGTAGCGACTTAACCATTAGATGATCTTGCAACACAAGTCTTGCATTGTGAGAGCCTCCACATTGTAATGATTCATAGACATACATTGGATGAACAATTGTCATATTAGCTGGGAAAATATTAGGACATCTGTAAGTTTCGGAGTCAAAAAGACTTGTGAGTGCTTGGTATGTTTTCATATATAATTACTAGTTGGCTTAACGAGTTTAATTACATGCATGAGTAGGATTTGAAAGCAGAATCTAGGTCTCTAGATGATGTGGAACTTAAAAGGAGAACGAAAGCTACAAGTCTAGTGTGGAAAAAAAGTAGAGATAAGGAGAGGTTGTGGCATCAAAAGTCCAGAATGCTATGGGCTTGTAATAGGGATAAAAACACTAGATTCTTCCATATCATGGCTAGTAGGAGGCAGAGAAAAAATATGTTAGATTCAATCCTTGTGGAGGGGGTGAGCCTTGAAGAACCTGATTAGGTTAAACAAGCTGTGGTTAGTCATTTTAGACGGCAGTTCTCAGAGAATTGGACTGTTAGGCCTATGATTTCAGGTCCCTTTAATGTCAGTAGCTCAGAGGCAGCAGTGAATCTGGAAGTAATCTTTACTGAAGATGAAATTTGGTCAGCTCTTCAAGATTGCGATGGGAACAAAGCCCCTGGACCGGATGGTTTTAATCTTGCATGTATTAAGAAGTGTTGGACAATCATGAAAGGTGAGATAGTACAAATGATTCATGAATTCTATGCAAATGCAAAACTATCCAGTTGGGTAAATAGCTCCTTTATTGTGTTGGTACCAAAGAAGGATAATTCTATAGACTTGGGCGATTATAGGCCAATTAGCTTGGTTAGCTCCATCTGTAAGATCTTGGCCAAGGTATTATCTAGAATGTTGAAGCAGGTGTTGCCAGAGGTGATCAGTGAGGTGCAATAAGCATTTGTTAGTTGTAGGCATATCCTAGATGGTGTGTTGATAGCCAATGAAGTTGTACATGGGTGTCACAGCACTAAGAAGAAAGGTATTATTTTGAAATTGAATTTTGAGAAAGCCTATGATTCATTAAATTGGGAGTTTGTGCTATCAATGTTGGATAAGTTTGGTTTTGGGGAAAGATGGGTTAGGTTGATGAAGTCTTATATTACTACAGCTAAGGTGTCTATTTTGGTCAATGGTGCTCCAACTGAAGAGTTTCAAACACAAAAGGGGTTAAGGTAGGGGGACCCCTTATCTCCTTTTTTTCTTTATTATTGCAGCTGAAGGTCTAAATCTGTTATTGAAGAGGGCCATAGAGATGGGTCTGATTAAAGGTGCCACTGTAGGCTTGGATCACTTGGGAATTTCTTATCTTCAATTCGCAGATGACACAATCATTTTTTGTGAAGGGGCTAAAGAGGAAGTTCTGAAAATCAAGAGAGTTTTGAGGTGCTTTGAGGTGATGTCTGGATTAAAGATCAACTTCCAAAAAAGCTTTGTCTGTGGGGTTGGGTATAATGAAGACCAAACCAAAGACTTGGCTAAGAATTTGAATTGTCTGTCAAAGAAGTTGCCTTTTAATTTTTTAGGCTTGCCTTTAAGGGCTAATACCAAAAGGAAAAGTACATGGCTACCAGTTGTGGTCAAGGTCAAGAAGAAGCTCTCTTCTTGGAAGAGAAAGTTATTGTCTTTTGTTGGAAGATTGTCACTATTCAAATCAGCCTTGGCCAATCTACTAATCTAGTTTCTTTCTAGTTTTAAGATGCCAAAGGAGATTATTAAGATTTTAACTAAACTTCAGTCCAACTTTTTGTGGGGAGGGAATGAAATTAATAGGAAAACGCATCTGGTCAAATGGAAGGAGGTTACAAAAAGCAAGAGCCAAGTTGGTTTGGGAGTGAGGAACTTAGGTGAGGTTAATGCATGTTTGTTACTAAAGTGGTGGTAGAGGTTTAGCAGTGAGGATAAGGCCCTTTGGAAATCAGTGGTGTGTTCTAAGTATGGCAGAATGAGTGGGGCTTGGATTCCTTCAGTGAATCAATTAGCAGGGGCTTCTATGGTTTAGAAGGACATTACACAGATAATTGAGAATAACCAACAACTAGGTGAATTTTTTGGAGGCCAAATAAAAATCATTGTTGGTAATGGGAGGAGGATTTGGTTCTGGCATGATGCCTGGTTGAGTTCTAGAAGCTTGAAAACTAAATTTCCTAGATTGTTCAACCTATCCACAGAGAAGGAGGAGTTTCTTCACCAAATCAGCATGAAGAAAGGCCTATCAGGGGAGTGGCAGCTCCAATTTAGAAGGAATCTATTAGCTTGGGAAAAGGAAGAGCTGCAGAGGCTGTGTGGTCTGGTGGTGGTATTCCCAATCCTTAGAGTTGTTCTTGAGAACTCTTGTTATTGTGTAGTAGAGAGGTCTGGGTAGTTCACAATCTTATCTGTGAGGAGGTGGTGGGATACAGCTACAGGGCAAGGTATGGTAGTACCACCAGCAGTGTGGGTGAACTTAGCTCGTCCAAAAATGCAGTTTTTTTGTTGGTTGGCTTGGCGTGCTAAGGTCAAAACCTCAACCTTCCTCCAAAGGATTGGGGGTGTGAGTGTTAATAAATTGTGTGTGCTCTGTCATATTGTGGAGAAGTCTGTTGATCATGTGCTTCTGCACTGTCCTCTGGTTTGGAAGTGTTGGTCTCACATAGTATATTGGTAGGGTCAGGTCTGGGCTATACCTGGTTCTATTGCAGGTTTGCTGCATTTGTGGATTGGTGGTAAGCTCAAGTCATGGCTTGGTAAAGTCTGGCAGATTATCCCCTTTGTCATTTTTTGATCTGTATGGAAGTTGCGAAATGAATGTTTGTTTAAGGGAGCTCATCCTGATATTCAAGTTTTATGCGAAAAGATTAAAGTGCAGATAGCTTTGTGGTCCAAATGGCTCTTGAAAGTAGATTATTCAGTGCACGACATTGTATCCAACCTCCACCAGATCAGGTTTGCTGTGTTATTTCTGTTATTGTTTCTTTGACTTTTGGTCTTTCCCGTGGTTGGTTTCTTGCCAACTGTTGGGGTGTTAGGGTGTTTCGAGGAACTTAGGTGAGGTTAATGCATGTTTGTTACTAAAGTGGTGGTGGAGGTTTAGCAGTGAGGATAAGGCCTTTTGGAAATCAGTGGTGTGTTCTAAGTATGGCAGAATGGATGGGGCTTGGATTCCTTCAGTGAATCAATTAGCAGGGGCTTCTATGGTTTGGAAGGACATTACACAGATAATTGAGAATAACCAACAACTGGGAGAATTGTTTGGAGGCCAAATAAAAATCATTGTTGGTAATGGGCGGAGAATTTGGTTCTGGCATGATGCCTGGTTGAGTTCTAGAAGCTTGAAAACTGAATTTCCTAGATTATTCAACCTATCCACAGAGAAGGAGGAGTCTCTTCACCAAATCAGCATGAAGAAAGGCCTATCAGGGGAGTGACAGCTCCAATTTAGAAGGAATCTATTAGCTTGGGAAAAGGAAGAGCTGCAGAGGCTGTGTGGTCTGGTGGTGGTATTCCCAATCCTTAGAGTTGTTCTTGAGAACTCTTGTTATTGTGTAGTAGAGAGGTCTGGGTAGTTCACAATCTTATCTGTGAGGAGGTGGTGGGATACAGCTACAGGGCAAGGTATGGTAGTACCACCAGCAGTGTGGGTGAACTTAGCTCGTCCAAAAATGCAGTTTTTTTGTTGGTTGGCTTGGCGTGCTAAGGTCAAAACCTCAACCTTCCTCCAAAGGATTGGGGGTGTGAGTGTTAATAAATTGTGTGTGCTCTGTCATATTGTGGAGAAGTCTGTTGATCATGTGCTTCTGCACTGTCCTCTGGTTTGGAAGTGTTGGTCTCACATAGTATATTGGTAGGGTCAGGTCTGGG